AGACCGCTCGGAAGCGCTGGAGACGCTGTAGCTACATATGGCCAAGGCCTATAAGTGGGCGCCTGTAGCGCTGCACCACAAAAGCAGAATCAGCCCTTGCAAAAACAGGGCTGTGAATAGGGCCGAAATGAGGAATGGCTAAAATAGCATGGAAGACCACTGTTTGGTATTTTGAAAAAAAAATGTCACAGGCATGTTTTATATAGGTGTGGCCCTACAATATATGTTTCACATATAGCATGATAGGTCCACTTTAAATGGTGTTTAACCACTAATTTGATAGAAATATACACATTAAATGTAAGTATTTTTGAGCACTTTTTAAGATAACAATTTTTCTAACTTTACATATATGTCATCGCCTCCATAATACATGAGGGAACAGTAACAAGTTATTGGATGCAGACTTAAAGTAAGTCTCAAACTAAGATGGTTTCTAATTTATTCAAACCGTTGGCATGATGAAGGTCTGTCACCGAATAGGCGCCAATAAATGTATTTATGCAGGCTAGACCGTAACAGCAGTTTGTATGCAGCTTGACTCACAGGCCTTCCAAGTTCACCGGCCATTCATACGATTTGTACACACAAAATATACAATTTGGATATGATGAATATAAGCAGAGGTTTAGTAATTACTACTAATATCAATGAGTTAAGTACTTTAGTATATCACTGTGATTCATAGTGTAAATCACCTTCAAATCTTTGAAGAAACAGGTCATTGGTTAACCTCTTGAAATCAGTGTTTTTTATTCCTCTTTGAATAAGGGCCCAAACTGATAATGGTAACAGTGACTGTACAGGGCAATGGTCAGAGGTGAGGGGAAAGGTCCTGCAGCTGAACAAACAGATGACCCTGTGTCAATCTCCTCGCTCTGTGGACACTAAGAACGTGAAGGGCCTTTTTCGTGTTTAATGGACCAAAGCAGTGTGACAGGAAATGTTGGCAAAGGGCAGCACTGAAAAAGTACTGAACCCGTTATCCCTTAACCTTGTAAACACACCAAATGTAATATTTGCTCTTATCAACTTCCTCAAACACAGATATAACGAACTACCTTGAACTATCTTCTTGGCTTCGGATAGATAGCATTGTGAAACTTGTTTTCATGTTTTGCTGATTTTGGTGCTCTTGGGTTATAAAAACATTTCCAAACCCAGCTGGAAAAATACAAAAAAAGCTAAGAAAGCAAGCCTGTTCTACTTTCCTGCAAGAGTGTTGAGGAGGTTGAAATGTGCCTAACAGTGATGATCTGCTGGATTCAACTTGAATACCTACTGTATATTCATCAGGGCTTAAAGGTTCATGAGGTAACTAGGCCGGCGGCCCCTCACGACCGGCCGTATTTGAGGTATTTTTTCCGTTGCATAAGAAGGATGTCGACCCCAGTCGTCCAGGGACCTGTCAGCTAGTTCTAAGAAATAAGTCAATCAAAGTTAATGTGTTACATTTGTGGCTGGGAGATTTGAATCACCAGACAAGACTGATAAAATGTGTTTGCAGTCTTCCAAATTCTTCAAAAAAAACACCTGGATGTTACTAAGAATTAAATTAGATTACTTTTGTACTCAAAATCAGATGGATTGTGATCAAACAAAGTCAAAGAATAGATAAGTTGAATACATTTAACCCTCCTCAAGCATCAATCAAATCAATCAAACTGCCCTTAGGAACACATTTGAGGTACTTTAAGGAGCTTTATTCTTCTACTTGGAAACTAAAATGACTCCTACTCATTTGACACCTATAGCTTCTTGTTACTTGCAGATTACATTATATTATACAGGTGATGAGGTTTTTGTGAGCTTTTCCTCCAAAGAAAGACCCATACACTTCCCAGATTGTTTCATTTTAATTAATTAATTTGTTCAAAATAACTGTTTGAGGCTAAAGGTGCAACTATCTCATCATATTTCATAAAAATAACATTTTCTACACAACCACTACCTACATTTTTATGATCATTTTGTTAATACTCCTTCTGTAGCCTACCTTAAATTAAATACCATTTTGAATGCAGGACTTTCCTTTTTATTGATTGTGGTATTAGTATTTTTACTGAAGGAAAGTATCTGAGTACTTCTTCCACCTCTGGTAAAAGCTTACCATTGCTGTCATTGTGAATAACATCTTAACATCATGAACAACTGGGAGCAGCAGTGTCTCTGTTTCCTGATTAACCAGATGAAACTATTTTGAAAGTGCTGATTAAGAGTGTTATTATTATATGCAGGGCTGCACATAACTGGTGCGCATGCACACCCCCCGCCAAAAAAGAGCACCGGATCATTTGAAAAAAGGCGCATTTGCGCACCAACATTGAGAGAGAGTAGAGAAGAGAGAGATATTTAGCGAGTTGCATAGTAACTGGTAAGATAGCAGGGTTTCCCACACATTGACTTTAGTTCGGCGGGCCGCCCAGGTATATTAACGCCCGCCAAAGTATAATTCGCGAGCTATTTAGGTTTAATTGTTTTAATCCGTGCACGAGCACGACGGCATCTGCGATCCCTCGCTCTNACGACAGAAAACAAGGAAAAAAAAAAAAAGAGCAATAACCAGTTTGGAATGAAAACCATTAGCAAGAATGTCTGAAATGTTGGGCCCCGTCTTTCAGATGGTGTGTCTTGAAGAATGCAAGCCTGGTGGAGTTGGGTGCTCCAGATGGCTGAGGTCATACGGCATGGATGAAACATTTATTGCCTACCATCCGGTCAGCTTCAACCTTCATGGCCTCCGTCCAAGGACCTCAACCTGGGAGCCAACCCGGGAAATTTGACCAGTTGTGTACAGTGCTTCACCCACAGCTATGTGTGTTGTGATCACTAATAGTATGCCATAAATGACGAATGAATTTGCTAAAAATGTTCGTTAGGAAATACTTGCAAACTGGTACAGGGTCAAAGCTTTTGCATTAAAGGGACCTAATCATGAAAATGACTTTTTTATGTATTTTATACAATAACATGTGTCCCCGGTGGTGTCAGGAACCAACAAAAGTGTCAGAAAACAAACCCGTCCCTCTTTTCCTCCGTACCCACATCTCAAAAACGGGGGTACACGGAACCTGATCCAGATTTTTCATCCGATATGAAGGTAATATCGGAATCTGGACCACGGCCCTATCGAAACATTGCTATTAGAAACAATGCCCGACTGTTTGGAGTAATATGGTCTTTTTACATTAGCAAGTCATCGCTAACACTCAGAGCTTACCTGTACGGAGGCGATATGTGAAAACGCAGGAAATAAAAAGGAACTCACCTTCGTGGTCAAGACCGGTGAGAGAAAAAGCCTTGTGAGCTCCATACTGTTTCAGAAATAATCCTTGATGGGTTTGGGACATGATATGGCATTTAAAATCACGCAGCGATTTAGCTGTCTCCCGGTAGAATCTGAGCAGGCATAAACTCCGCCCCCTCTTTTTTTTTTTTTTTCAAGCCATGGACCCTGAACCTGCAGTTCCCTAACAGGGCTGAAATAGAGGGTTATGAGAGATGTCTAAAATGCATGATCTGTTTGGTTTTTTGAGCAAAACACATCATATACATGTTTTTTAATATCTGAGAACCATAATACATGCCTATAAATAGCATAATAGGAGACCTTTAATACATGTTTTTTTCCAAGAGGCCTTAAGTTATGTATTTATATTTGCATGACAGATAATTCATTTTTTATTTATGATAATCATAAAGTATTCAATGTTTCACTCTCTTCCCACAGATGGCTAGAGGACACAGGTCAAGCATTTCCAGCAAAGCTACGTTTGTCACCCTCTCTCGAGCGTTGTGCAGTAAAGGTATCCTGGCTCTATTCGGAGTCTCTAAACTCACCGCCATCATGGAATCAAACTCCTCCCAACCCGACCAGGTCAGGAGGGGGGAGATGATCCAGAGGTTCAAGATCCCACAGGATGCCTGTACGTACAAAGGGGAAGGGATTTGCTAACAGAATTGTATTGCCTGTGTATTTGTTCTTGGTATTCAGTGTTTTTCACAGGATTCCGTTGCTGTCTAAAGCATTCATATCTAGTATTCTGTAATATGTTTTTATGTTATAAAAAATACATTATCTATGCCTTAATGAGAGTGCTGCTACTTTGGTTTCTGACTCAAACACACTGTTGGGAGTTAAGAGGGTAGATTTATTTTTCCTAAATAGAATTTAAATATGTATTGTTTTGTTTGCTAACCTCCCAGTGTAGTAAAGGAATACAAATAAGAGGGTAAGGCTGATTGCATTGTATTTGTCTTATCATCAGCAAACTTCATTAAGTCCACAACTTACAAATTCATTGATACTACCTTCCAGTTTTGTTGGGACTTACCATTTGTACAGATTTTACAGTAGTCGTAGGGATGAATGTGCTGTGAGAGTAATGTTACAGACACCTTGGGGAAGTTTAAAAGCCCCAAAAATTGATTTATTTGTTCGTTTTTTTTAACGGGATTTGTGGCAACAAGGATATGAATGCCAACTGTTCGATTATTTTTACAAAAACTAGATATCAACTTGTTTGTTGGATATTACATTTGTATGAATACTGTATATCTAATGATTCTCCAATCGTCTGCCCTTGTGTAGCTCCCTTCTGTATGAACATGTACCTGGATATGGTCAACACCACGGGCGGAGCCATCGCCTGGGCCTTCCTCAAACCAATGCTGATGGGTCACATTTTGTATACCCCTGACACACCTGCCACCAGGGCCATAATGGAGAAGGTATGAAGCACATATAAATATGTCTTGTGTTTGGGTCAGCAGCTTCAAAATCAGCACTCACGGTTTTGCCGAGTATGTTGATCTTTTATTTGGTGTATTGGATGAGCATAGTGAGAAAATATAGAAGAAAAATACAAAAATCATTCAACATAAATATAGAATAGAAGAAAATTACTATAAAATATGAAAAATACTATAGGAAAAAGTCTTCATGAACTTATGAACTCTATGTTCTAAATCCTCCAGAATCCCTCATCTGTCCTTTTTATGCTTTTACAGGAGTTTTTTTTCACTCTTACTTCTACCTTTTCTAGGGTTTAGTTACCTTTGGAGTCTTCAAGCACCCCTACTGGCATGTAGTAAACAACAAATACAGCATTGCAAGGGGTGCACACCTATTTGTATGTGCCACCATCTTCCACTGTGGTATTATTTTGAGCAACTTTAGTTTTTTTTTTGTATACTGCTGACATCACAGACGAAAACAGCCACAAGAACAATGAAATAGGGCAGGTTATGAAATCTTGCTTACACTCAGCCATTTCATATATTCTCGTCCTTGTCCTCTCCTTTCCAGGCCAATTCCACCTTGAATGAGTTTGCAAATCTAAGGAAGTACTCCGAGGACTGGATCGAATCCTCCAACTACCTCGTGAAGTCTGCCGTGTTACTCAGCCAAACTTTGCCAATGCTGCAGGTATGAAAACTTTGAACTGTCTTTTGAACATCTTATCGTTGCAGTTGGCTCGCTGCCATCTCGCGGAAATTTTGGAGATAAACTTTTGCAGTGGTCTGCCACGAGTTTCAGCAGGCGAATCTTGATGTTGTACTTCGTCTCTTCCCACTCCCTCTCAGAATTCCCTCGGCAATTCCTTTGTTCAGAGATTCATTGAGATGCAGACAGACATCAATGTCGACACAATGAAGGAGACGCTCAGCAACTTCTGTGAGTGAGCATTTGAAGGTCTTACTTTTGTAAGCGGCAGATTCCAGGCTCACCTTTATATTTCTCCCTCATTTATTGCCTGTAAAATATCCGCACTATCAGAAAATAGCACTGCTGCTTATGTTTACATGAAGCATCGCTATCATCACTTCAACATGTATTCCTTCAGGTTCTATCTTCTTGATGTGATTATATGTGACAGTTTTTTTTCCACAAAGGTCTGACTTTGATGTGCAGGTATTTAATCAGATTACCTTGAAATGCCAGACCATATCTTTTTATCCGAGTTAACATCTGAGATAACAGTGCATGGCACGGAACAGACACGGGGAAGTAGCATTACTTTAATTTAGATTTACAGCAATCAAATCTAAATCTACACGCTGAACTGCTTTGACCCTGTCTGTGAATTTCTAAATGTGTTTTTTCCCCCTAAAGCTAACATGACCGCCATGCTGGAGAAAAACAAACACATAATGGATCAGGTCACCACCTTGTCCACCCTGATGGTGAACCTCTCCTCCTGCATCACATTTGACCGTTACCGTGGCTACGACACTGCTGATGAGCTCAACGCTGCAGCTCAGCACCTCGCCAAAAACCGTGATCTCTACGCGAGTAAGTAAATATTAGGTATAATGGACATGTTTATGTGAGGAGAGCCGACTCATTCTGACCTGCGGGTTCATGAGGACAGTGCAGTGTGATTTATTATTGATTATATTCCATCATATATTGTACTTTTCTGGACTTGTGTTTGTGTTAGAGCTTATCCCAGCCAGGCAAAAGCATCCACCACATCAACATATTGTTGACAATGATTTAAGAGGAGAAAGCTTCCACCAAAACAGACTTTAAAACAGTATGTCTAGTAGAAAAAGATCGTAAAAGCTGCTCTTTAAATGCTATCTGTTTATACAATGCATGATCTGTTTGGTATTTCGAGCCAAACACTTCAGAGACATGTTTTGTATATAACTGAGACCTATAATATCTTGATGAAAAACAGTTGGGTGACCTTTAAGTTTAAGATGTGTGCATTGAGATTTTGCAATCTGTCCTTTAGGTGTCATCTTCAAGCTTCCCAAAGACACGGACGCATCCAGGAAGCGTAATGCCAGGGCTTCCTCTTCCACATCCACCCTGCCTCCTAAAGTCAGCTACACCATCCGAATGCACATGGACAACTTGATGCGCACAGACAGAGTCCGTGACCCCTATTTTATGAAGGACCACCACATCTCGGCCCAGAGGACGCTGCGCTACAACCGGGGCTTTGTGTACCTGCAGGAGAACATCGATCGGGCGATCATAGAGACCCAAACTGGAAATAGAATTGAGGAGACAGCCGTCCAACTGCAGCCCTTCCCCTACCCCTGCCACTACAGGGATGAGTGAGTACCCTATACACACGGATGCACTCTCACATCACACACACACACACACACACACACACACACACACACACACACACACACACACACACACACACACACACACACACACACACACACACACACACACACACACACACACACACACACACACACACACACACACACACACACAGTACAAACATGCTCCCCTGTGGATGCAGCACAGAAACGTGAAAGGATCAACGGTGTCTCTGTGGGGAGATACCGTTGCATTGCCGTGGATTCATGTATGCTCTCTCATTATTAATTTGCCACTTGGGACTGACAGTAAGCAGTCATTCACAGGAACCCTTTTTGCATTATAATTGGCTCTGCACCAGGTGCATAAATATTCACTATTATTGAGCATTCATTTTTTAAGACCATACTCACAAACGCCCTCCAAGCTCTCAAGGAACCCCACTCATCTCTGTAGTATATTTCCAATTCAAAACATGGGCTTGGCATTAACTTGTGCATCGATACTCTTCATTGTTTCCAATAAATCATGCTTGACCGTAATGTCTATGTTTTTGCTTCCTGCCCCCGAGTGCTGATATCTCATCTTAGAGGCACCAGCGGGCCACTGTCTCTGGCTGGATGCCTCTGACCATTTATAAGATATGAGAAATCTCGCCTCTGCATCCTTCTGATTTATTACTCAGCAAGACAATTTCTGACATGAGCTGTGAAATATAGCTGTGTAGCATGAAAAACCTAAAGCTCTAAATTCCTATGCTTCAGGCTCCAGATATGATTGGGTCAAAAAAAAGAAGACTAAAATGGAGAGGCATTTATTTTACGTAAATAATAACAGGATCAGGGTGTCAAAAATCCCCTAACACCTCCTTCGATATTGCTTTTCATTCCGTGTGTCTGTCAAGCCGGTGACTGAATGATAGCTCTTTTTATCTTCTGTTGTTGACAGTGATTGGGGTTTTCTAGAAATGTGACTGACAGTTTTCTGTATTCCCCAGGTACCTGGAGGCCGTCGCTTTTGTCTTCCCTCTCATGTTGATGATAGCCTGGGTGCTGTTTGTGGCTGATTTTGTGAAGAAACTGGTGCATGAGAGAGAGCTGAGACTACATGAGGTATTTTTTTTCACTTCAAATATTATCAAAATTGACCCTGTATTTTACATAGAACACTGAATTCTTGCTTTCTATAAGGTCCTGTTATCATACCGTCCATTTATTTGTGTTTTTTCAAGTATGCACTCACGCAGCTCACAGCAACAAACAGTAACATTTCCTCCCTCTTATATTCCCACTGTTCATTCTTAAGTACCACTAGCAAGCCAACACATCAACACTTTTTTTTTTTCCTTGTATTCCAATCCTTTTATTTTCTTGCTTTTCTCACAGTACATGAAAATGATGGGAGTCAATCCGCTCAGCCATTTCTTCGCATGGTTCCTGGAGTGCGCCTCCTACTTGGTGCTGACCGTCTCCATCCTCACCCTGGTGCTGAAGTACGGCAACATTCTGCCCCACAGCAACGGCTTCATCCTCTTCTTGTACCTCTGCAACTACAGTTTGAGCATCCTGTCCTTCAGTTACCTGGTCAGCTCCTTCTTCGACAAGACTTACATCGCTGGCCTCAGCGGCAGCCTTCTGTACATCCTCTGCTTCTTCCCCTTCATTGTGGTCTTGGCCGTGGAGACAGATCTCACCTTTTCCCAGAAGAGCGCCCTGGTGAGGAACCCTTTGGACCCTTGTCTTTCATGACTCATCTATTAAAATGGTAGTACTGTGCAATGTGTAATAACTTACACAGCTCTGGAATTGAAAGGAGAAATAAGGAACAACATACAATCATGTCATTTTATTACCAAATGTTATTTACTCAATCTATCATAGAACATTTTTGTAACATGATTCAAAAATTCCAGCCTTAAAACACGGTTCCTTGTGAAATAGTAAAAACAACTAGTTTTTGCCTCAAACTGTTTTACAATGTGAGATTTTCTTTTAACTTTGACACATTGACAGAAACAATCTGACAGTGCACAGGTTTCTGTTTGCCTTCTTATGCTGACATAAGTTGTGCATATTTACGTAATATAGGCTTTTATTTTGGTGATGGTTGTCAGGTTTGATCATTAATTAGATGTCACATAATGTCAGTGCAACAGCTAAAGCCTTATTTGCTTTGAACAAAACTCTTCATGTTTTGTTGAGAAAGTGTTGTTAAAACCACATAAGAGAGGAATGAAAGAAAGGCACAAGACACATCATTGGATTTTTGCTGCTTTTGTTTCTGTATGTTGTCTGATTTGTCTCTCATTTTCTTACAGAGTTTGTTCTCCCCAACCTGCTTTAGTTATGCCAGTCAATATATCTCTCGATTCGAGTCCCAAGGAGAAGGTATGCATATACATTGTATACTGTACACATTTGACTTGCATCAAACAAGACTCTTTGACATAGAGCATAAGCTATTTTAGTCAGTGTGAAGCAATTGCAAATGATCTGTTGGCTTCTTTAGGCCTCCAATGGAGTAACTCATACACCTCGCCCATACCTGGAGACACGGCTTCGTTCGGTTGGCTGTGCTGGCTGATGCTCATCGACTCCATCCTCTACTTCATCATCGGGTGCTACATCCGAATGGTCTTCCCAGGTAAACTATTAAATCATAGAAGTCTGTATGAAAAATATTTTCCTTAAATGAAGGAGGCCAGTCCTTTCTAATAATTGATCTGTGATGTTTTATCGCTGATTTGAAATCAGGATCAACTAGGATTGCTGTAAACATATATGTGTCGAGAGCAAGTACATGGCATATTTGCTGTATACAGATTAGGTTGTTAACAGTGGAAGCATATAAGGGCTCATGAAGATTTATATTTGGTTATGCTTTTACCCTTTAGGCAACTACGGCATCGCTTCCCCATGGTACTTCCCATTCAAAGCATCCTTCTGGGCCGACCTGTGCTGTTGCTGTAGGTCAAACAGTAAGGTGGGCCGAGGACTCCTCTTCACCAACATCATGCAGAAAAACCAGCCTGTCTTCTCCGATGACAAGGGAAAAGGTACGGGGGGAAAAGAAAAATGAATTTGTACTATCTCGCTGCAGATGATAATAAGCACTGCTGTCTCCTCCGGTGTTATGTTTTGAAGCAGGAACATGATGTTTTCCCTTTTTATATCATTTTTTGTCTCTGACACCTCACTACCTTTTTTTTTCACCCTCACTCTTTGTTTAATTCCCGTAACCTGTAACTTTGATTTACTGGTTGTCTCTGTCTCCATGTTTTTTCTCAGGCCAGAGCAGTCTTTCCTCTCAGACTGGGGAGGATTTCTCAGAGCTCCCAGTAGGCGTTGCCCTCCATGGTCTCAGCAAGATGTATGGCGACCGAGTAGCTATCCAAAACCTTAACGTGTCCTTCTACGAGGGCCATGTCACCTCACTACTTGGTCACAATGGAGCCGGCAAGACTACCACCATGTATGTGTGGCATGATTTCTTTATTTTTCACTGCATCAGCATGACGTGAGATGAACATAAATGCAATTTTGACAATTCATATACTCAATGAGGCGTCTTTTAAATTTGATTTGTGCATCCCTTTAATCAGCAGACATTTTAAATGGGTCTGCTGCTGACAGGGAGATTGTTTTGTCTAAATCTGGCACAGCAAATGCTACTTGAAAGAGATTTGCCTGACAGGTATTCATCAGCTGGAGCACTTACATTTACATTTTAAATGTGACTAATTTTGCTGATGCTCTCAGTGCATCAGCAGAATACCTTTCAACAATGTTACAAAAAAAACCCCCAGAAGATATAGTATTCCAGGGCCCAACAAATCATAATTGAACAGGAAAATGGTTGGGAGAAAGTACAGAAAAAACGAATTGGACATAGCAAAGGGCATTTCCAACATTTAGTGTTCTAGGTAGCAGATATGAGGTAACATAAGTTGTTGAAAAACTATCTTATCTATTTGAATTATATCTTTATGAAACATGAAATAACCAGAAAACTGAATTATCTCATGTAATAAATGAAAATGCTTTGTGCTTAGGTCTCTCCTGACTGGCCTTTTCGCCCCAACATCTGGCACCATCGAGGTGTATGGCAGAGACATGCAGACCAACATCGATGAAATTCGCAGAGAGCTAGGAGTGTGCATGCAATATGACGTCCTGTTTGACCACATGACCACCAAGGAGCACCTGCTGCTGTACGGCCAGATCAAGGCGCCACACTGGTCACAAGAGGAACTGCGTGAACAAGTCCGCTCGTGAGTGACAATCCGTCCATTACAGGGAGCATGCTTAACAGCATAATGCAATCAATCATAATCCAGTGGGTCTTAAAGATTATATCAGGGGTTCTGCATTATTTAGCAATGCCATTGGATGTATTGTATAACCTGTTTTGTTACATCATAAGACATCATAAGAATGATTCTTTAGTGTCTAGGAAATATGAGTAAGGGTTATCAGAGTAAACAGTGAATTATAGCTAGTGCTTAACACAAGTGACTGGTTACATAGGGACAAAAACTAAGAGCAATATTCAAATAGGGTTATAATCAAATATATTTTATGATTATACTGCTGTAACTTATAGAATATATAGGCCTTGACGCAAGAATTCCAATCTGTGATAAGGACAAAATAATTGTTACACTTGTCATCCATGAAATAAGCCCCACTCTTTTCAGATGCAAGCTGAGAAAGCTATTGTTCTCCAACCATGCTATGACAAACCTAAAACAACACTTTCCCCCCATTTCCAGATCACAATTTGAGTATTTCTTTGTATTTTATCTCTTTTTTTTCATTTTTACTCTCTGGGATCAGCTTAAGGGGGCAAGCATTTGAAAAGAAATGTAATTATTCTGTGGCATAATTAAGCTATGGGTAGAACCCCCAGTTGCATCATGAAACTATTTCTGGAGGGTTTCCGCATGAAAAGAGCAGCAGTAATAAGCAGGAAAGCTATAAGCAAGGAACCGTACCTTCCCACTGGTTTCTGTTTTTCAGACATCCTGCTGGGTATCTGATGGGAGTGAAACTCAGAAACTTGGTTTTAATGCACAGACAAGTATGCTAATGTAAGCTGTATGTTAAATGCTTTTCATCGACTTCCCTACCAGGACCCTAGAGGAGACAGGCATGTACGCTCACAGACACAAGCTGGTGAGCACATTGTCAGGAGGCATGAAGCGCAAGCTGTCAATCTCCATCGCCTTCATAGGGGGCTCTCGCTTGGTGGTTCTGGATGAACCCACCGCAGGAGTTGATCCCTGCTCCAGGCGCAACATCTGGGACATTGTTATCCAGCACAAGAAACGTGAGTACATATGATGAGAAAAAATAGCCCAAAAGGAACTGAATGGAATAGGAAAAAATAGTTGAGGAAAGAAATGCAATTCTCCTTTTACTGTATGTCAAGTGGGGTCCTGCAAGGCGCGGACCTTGGCCCTATTTCTTTTTGATCCAAATCCATATTCTTTGGCAATTCTGTATGCAGTAGATAACTTTAGTTCATAACTGTCTGAATGTACTGCACTCTCGCCTCGCTGCCATCAAAAACTAGATGGCCTCTAACCACTAGCTTAAAAATGTTCAGCCAGAATATTTATCTAAATCAGAAATGATGCCAGGCAAATCTGCACTTCCCAAAAACAAAGTCAAGCAACTTTTCTACGCCGTCTTTTTTCTGATCTTGTCTTCTGCATTCAATTGTATACTAGCCTTAATCATGTAGCAATTACCCATCTACAGTTGGTGCATAATGCATCAGTTTCTGTTTTTGAATTCAGTCTTGATTACCTTATAAGCCCCCCATGGTTTATCCCTGCATTATCATTAGGATCTTGTAACTGCATATCAGATCAAATCAACTGCCATACAGATTCAACAACATGAACATACAGACACACAGTTTGCACCTTTCATACTAACTTTGCTAATCACAAGTGGGCCGGTTGTTTATTATACATATAAAGCACTAAAAAAGCATTAAAAAAAAGCCCAGCTGCTCACTTAAGAGATTAAAGTACCACACATGAGTTTAAGGGAATAATCTCATTCTAGCTTTGTGTAATGGATAATTAATCACATTGCATCATTTTTATCCTGTTAGACGACAATGAATAAGAATTTTTTTGTAATGAGGCTAGTCCTTGTACAAAAAATACTGAACTTCTTTAGTGCAAACACTTACATGGCACAGATAATCCAAAGTCTTGCTCTAGTACTTTCCACTGGAGAGACCCCCCACTACTCCCTCCCTATACTTCCTAAGAGGGAAAGGAGTAGAGGAGCAGGAACCTGGAGCCAACTCTAGGGCTTTCCCCTGCTCAGGCTTCTGACTTTAGATCTAGCATATAATTAAAGTTAAATAAATCCTGTGTTATTTATTCAGGCTGTTTTAGAATAGAAGACAGGGAGGCAGGGAGACTGCTAAATGTAATATAATTGAAGCTGTGGAAGAATATCCTGTGTAATTGGACCTGTCTCAGATGTTAAGTGAGACTTTGCTGCCAGGGAGATCTATTTTAAAGTTTACTTTCTGCACCGGTTGCTCTTTGTGAGCCTGTTTCTCTGATAATTTGTATGTAAATGACACAGCGTTTGTGTGACCTTGTCTTTGTGATGCTTTGGTATTTTATTTTGATGTGTGTTTTTGCAATTGTTTGTGTTTGCAGCTACACATGAAAGGATGTTCTGATAGGAAAACAAGGGAAAAATTGTTTTCCTGAAGATATTTTAATATGCGTCTACTGTATGTTGTTTTACCCTTCACAAAACCTTGAACAGCCATAAAGCTTTACAGCTAAGTTTGGCTGGCTATTGTTTGCCTGTGTGAATTTCAGGTTTGAGTGGATTGTTCAATAGTTAAAAGTGAAGGGAATAGTTTAGAAATTGTATACAAATGTATTCTATGTGTGTGTCCTGTCAGATCGCACTGTCATCATGTCCACTCACCACCTGGATGAGGCTGAAGTACTCAGCGACCGCATCGCCTTCCTGGAGAGAGGCGGATTAAAATGCTGCGGATCCCCCTTCCACCTGAAAGACAAACTGGGTCAGGGCTACAAACTCACCCTCACCAAGAAGGTACTTAATTTCATTGGCATCCAGTTCCAGGATTCTTTCTGGTCAAATAAACTATATTTCCCCAGAGCTACATGTTTATTTATTTGTATTGCTTTTGTTTGTTCCATTTCTGGCAATGAATATGTACACTTTAAGCAGTTTATATAGCCCATTACAGAAAAAAGCAGGGAGAAGAAACCTTAAACCCTAATCCTAGAAGTGAGAAGGCAACATATCTTGGATGCATTTTTATTCAGACACTTAGAGAATGCACAACCAGCACAAATAGTAACATTCCCTAGTACATTATTATAGTGGAACTGGCCTGTTTATGTAACAAAAATAATTCTCGGTTTTATTTCTGCCCCACTGGAGTTGCACACAATCCATATTGCAATAGGGTGATTTGTATCAGATCAATTGTAAAAACTGCTTAACAGGCTAAACACAAATAATGCTCTGCTGACTGCTGCAGTCTGGCTCATACTTTTGTTTAGACTATATAAATATATATATTAGTGCCCTTTATAAGTGCACTTTATACCAGTAGTTATTTGTGTCTAAAATAAAGCTGTCAGTACTGTGTATTTGGACTGTTCAGGCTAAAATGTCTTCTCTTTGTAGCAGTAAGTCAGAAAAAGGAAATATTATCGGGGGAAATAATAGAGTATTTACAAACCAAAAACATAAATAGTACAAATATATATATGGGCAGCTGCTTTGTGGTTGTGCAAAGTAAACCAGTGTAATATTGCAATTTAAAATTGTTATAACCCATTCCTCTTTTCTATATGCAGGTCCAGAACCCAGATTCTGAGCCGATTGACAATGCTGACCTGAAGGCCTTCATCCAAGCTCATGTACCAGAAGCCAGACTGAAGGAGGCCCAGGGAGGCGACCTGGTCTACTCACTGCCCCCCTTTAACTCATCCAACGCTTCCTCCTACCGCTCCCTTCTGACTGCGCTGGACGCCAACCTGGATGCCCTGCAGCTGGGAGGCTATGGCATCTCTGACACCACCTTAGAGGAGGTAGGCTCATGCACAGCAATGCAAAAAAACAACATATCTTGGATATTCCCTGTGTGAAAACACTCATGTTCATAAAGTTGGACATATTGACTCGTTTGCATAATTTCAAGCTTAAAAAATGGAACAAAAATGTCTGTGTTGTGAACAGATACTGTTGTTTTTCTTTTTATCTGTGTAGGTGTTCCTCCAGTTGACTCACGGAAACTCAGAAGATGGTTCTGAGGAAGGCCCGCTGTCTATCTCAGAGACGGTTTCTGACACTGATTCCATCGACAGCTTCCCCTCGGACTCGAGTGGAAACATCGACAACTTTGGTGACAAGATCAGTGAGTGAACCAGAAAAAACACTTTCCATAAAGTTTATATATTCCTTTTTTGTTATTTATAAAATAACTGTTATTCTATTTTACATTTTTAAAGAAAAATATTCGAAAAAAAACTTCAACTCAGCTGACCTAGTTCAACAACTTCCACATTTTGATGGGTGTACTGCCATCTTTTCTGATATAATCCACCCATTAACCTTTATCTCACCGTGCCCTAGAGGGGAAAGCAGGTATTATCAAAGCAGTAAGACACTAAGAAGGTAAGTGAATTAGTATATAAATGATTAAACCTGTCTCCACTTCTTCTCCAATGTATCCCAGAGCTTACCGGATCATCCACGATGAGCGGCATGGCCCTGGCCTGGCAGCAGATGACAGCCATACTGGTGAAGAGGTTCCACCACAGCCGTAGGGACTGGAAGGGCCTGATCGCCCAGATCCTGCTCCCTGTGCTCTTCATGGTGTTTGCTATGGGCCTGGGCTCCATCAAGAGCGACCTGCAGCACTATCCTGAGCTGGAACTCAGCCCTGCGCTTTACAACTTAGGACCGAGCTACTCTTTCTTCAGGTCAGCTCTCATTGGGTGCCCAATAGTAAACAAAGCTAATAAGGATGATTTGACTCCAAGCATTTTTGGATCAGTTTAATGGAACTCTAAAGCTTTGCCCTTTCATTCAATATATTTGGCAAGGTCAGACCAAGGCCACTGTGACTCAAGGTTGCAACGAAAAATCATGAAAGGGCACCTGAAAAAGTAGGTCTTGTCCAGGAATATTTATTTTACACAGACATTTACATTTTTAAATGTGGTGAGCTTTGGCGAAGGCTTCAAACAAATCATGATACAGCTGTGTGCCTCTCAAGAGAAGTCTTTGTAATACTTGGTTTGTTACAAAGCTTGGAAGAGGTTGTCTTGTAGTACCATTTTCTGGCATTTACAAATCTTATACCGCGTGGTCTAAACGATGCACCAAGATCACTTTTTTGAGAACACAGAGCTGCAACCACCCTGCAACTTTGATGAAGGGTTGAAGCATCTCGTCCTTTGATTGGTCCCCTGGGATCCCCCATGTCACTTGTTAGAGAATTAATTTAAAGCTGCAGTTTGTTGAAGGGCAGACAGACCTTAAGGAAAGGGATCGGAGGAAAGAGAGGATTGAAGACGGATGAGATACAAGATCAAAGTGAGAGGGAGTGTCAGGAAGTTGCGAGATGTCTTCATTTTTGAGAAGTGCTGTTGTTTGATCAAGGGGATGTGCAGCAAAGGAGAAAATGAGGAGGTGCCATCCATATCAAAATCGGTATGGATGCACTCCCTAGTCCTCTTCAGCTTGATACAAATGAGATTGAAAAGATTGGATAATCATTTTAATTCAGATAAATGGTAAGGCTTGGAGAGCTAGGTAGCAGTCTCACCTTTTATGAACTTTCTCAGAGCAGTGTGTTTTCAGACTTGCCTGCATGAACAATACGAATGCAATGATCTGAATGTTTATTTATGAGAGTACCTCTTCTAGCAGGAAACAGCTCAAATTAAAGAACCCCACTCAAATGTAAAGTGGCAAATCAAATGTCCTCACTCTCCTTTTATCTGTCCAGCTCCCCGCAGCAAAGCTATTAGAATCACTGATTGTGCCCCCATGGTCACTTTATCGACAATATCGGGAGATAGTAAAGTGCTCTTATACCATGTTCTCTACTATCCTTGATATATTCCAACCTTGAAACCCCAGCAACCAACACTGATTTGAATAAATCATCAATAATGAGTGAAACCAATTTTAGAGCCTTGTGAACCGTTTTTGTGGGGTTCCTTCATTTTATTGTAATTATTGTAAAGTCTACTAAATCGAATATGTAAAATTTGAGTTGAGGCTGACTGTTTGTTTTCTGACTCCATAGTAACCAGAACCCCAGCACCTCTCAGCTGACGGACACCATGTTGTCATACCCCGGGATCGATAACGCCTGCCTCGACAAGTCTAATAACCCGTATGTAATCAAACCTCAAATGCCAAACATGTTTCCCTTGAAAATTATCTATTTTTCACCGATACTCTTGGTGCCCTTGCTCAATTTTCTTATGTATTCTACGCCTTTTCCAACTGCACAGTAATTTCATATTTCCCTTATTGTCATTCTTTTAATGCCTCCTCCTGCACCTTGTTTCATTACCAGGCTGCCTCCCTCCTATTCTTTCCACTTTCTTTCTCTGTTTTCCTAGCGCTCAGCTTATGTATGTGTCTGAAAGCCGGCAGCGGGACACTGCGATAGGAGGGCGTCATTTGTATTCCATAAACACCTTGTGTTTATAGGGGAGATTTTCCCCTTACAGGCGCTCAAATCAATGTTAGCACAAAAAAAAAGAAGAAAAAAGACCGAGATAATGGAAGATCCTATGTTGCAAAAAGATGTTTTGCTCACCATGTCCTATTATCACAACATGACAATTACTGAAAGGACGGTGTGTGAAGCAATTACATTTATATAAAATATAATGTATTGTCCCTTGACTAGGGTCACTGTTGTTGGACAACTTATATCTAAAGTAACAGGTGAGCATGTGGGTGTGCAATCTTCAGTCATCTGCACAATGTGTCATAAAGCACTTGACTGAAAAGAAAGGCGGGGGAGTTGAACATTCACCCACACAAACACATTACACATAATACGATTTTACATTACATATAAAATAAGAGTTTTTTTAACTAACGTCAGAGAAAGACAGCATGCAAACTTCACAGGTGCTGTATGAATGGTTGCAGTTGGCAAACATGCAGATGTGTAGCTTTGATGCAGGCCATCATATCAACTCAGTTTCAGGATGTTTTCTGGGTCTGTCTAGGGATGCTCTAGTGCCATTATCACGCACTGCAGACTGCCATCTTTCCTCTGAGCCACCATTTCACTTTGTGAATGTTTTCTTTTAAGGGTCTGCACAAGAAGCGCAAGCAGCTGGAATTCCAGAGGGAACGGCTCCAAAGCATTTAGTGTCTGTAAATGCAGCCGTCAGGAACAGGTGAGACTGGGTCACTGGGAGCAGTGTTTGTGATTGTGTGTGTGTGTGAGTGAGTTTTTATGTTCTCATGCATCTCTGTTGCTACACAGGAATGTGTCTTACTGAGTGTGATTGTGAGAAAGGCAGAGTGTAATGTGGTTTTCTTTTCCCTACACTGCAGGTTTGCGACCTTGACAACTTCCGGCCCCCCCATAAAGAGATCCCCTCGTCTCAGATTGTGTATAACCTCAGTGGTATCAACGTGGAGAAATACCTGGTGGCAACAGCAAATGATTTCATCAGAAACAGGTGAACATACTGAGAATTCAACCCATGCTTCACTGATATTGTACTATAGTCTCAGTGCTTACTGCTAGTTGCATGAACTATAGGAAGCAATGTTCCAACAGAATCCAATATCACATATATTACATCAGGGGTGTCCAAACCTCTTTCACTGGGGGCCACATACAGACAAATATACGAAAGGCTTGGCCTCTCACTCGAGGTGAGGTATATTGCTTCATAAGTTAAGTTCTAAGTTAGCAAAACCAATCAAATGTAGGTCAATTATCCTTAATACTTGAATATGCTTTAAGAAAAAAAACAGCCTTCAACAAAGCTTCCCATAGGGTTTCATTTATTTTCTTACAAAACTGTTGGCAGCTCAAGCCTCAGATTGCTTATAATAAGGAACAATATGAAGGTTTTATTTGAAGCTTGTTATGCTAGTAAGTTATTGGGCTTTATTTGAATCAACGAAACTTTGTTAGAAAATGTTTTCAACTTTAACTTACTGAATTTATTTGAAAGGTTGGGCTTATTGACACATGAATAGTACTGCGTAATATCTGTTTACATATATATTTAAGAAGTACAATATAAGAAAAGCAGAAGTGTCATGTGTGGGCCATATTCCATTATACATTTAGAATTTCCTGAGGGCCAATTCAAAATGGACAACGAGCCGCAGTTGGCCCCCGGGCCGTAGTTTGGACACCCTTGTATTACATATAACATATTTTTGATGAGTTTGAGACTCCATTTTAAGACTTCAGTCCTCAGTATTTAAGTCGTGGCCTATTTGTTAATTGTTGGTAACAGCAAATGCTATGTTTTACTAAAAGCTCCAATTGAGTAGAAATAACTATTCTAATCAAAATGTCAGGCAATAATCTGCCTTTGTCAATCTTTCTGTGAGCAACACTAATCTGTTTTTATGCTGCACACGGCTCGTAGTTTGATACCTGGCTGAGATGCTGGAGGTGTGCAGCATGTCGCCGGCAGCTCTTCATCTGACAGCTCACTGGGGCTGCTGCCGACTGCTCAATTACTCTTGTTCAATATTTCAAACGGATTGGCTGTCGCAAAATGTGCCTTGTGTTTTGCAGATGCATTTTTGTATTATCTGTATTGGCCAGTATTAATCCTACTGACAAACGGGTGCTTTAAATGTGATGCTGCAGCATTCGGAAATGCTTGGTTAGCATTAGCATACATTTAAATCAACATTTCTTACAGGATATCGCCAGAGACTCCCAGCTTGTCCTGTAATACTACACATTTATAAATACCACAGTTCTTTCATTAGTGGGCCATTATGTTCAATTACCATTGAGCTACCTCATTCAGCAAAAATGACATAACAGACCTTAACTCAAATAGAAATCTTTAAGATCATTTCTTTAATAGTCAGAACTGGGAAAGTTGCTATTGCTGGGAAGTGCGTTGTATATAAAACAAGCTCTGCTTAACACAAGTAGGTTTTTAGTATCTTGTCCATTTTTGGTCATACTTTTATCGTGGGGTCAAATGTTTTTACCTAAATGCTTCTCATTTGCAGGTTAATATTTAATTCAAAGAAAAACAAGCAAGCAAAAGAGATAGTTTGTCTTTCTCAGCAGCGTTCGGAGCTCTTTGTTTTTGATCTATTTATATATATATTATTTTTTTATAGGTATGGTGGCTTTTCTTTTGGCGAGTCACTCCCTCACGACTTAAAAATGGATTTAACAACAGTGCCCAAAAACCGTACACTGTCTAAGGTAACTTTTCTCTTTTTCCCAGTTGCCTGTCTCATTATCACTTTAATGGCTTCACTGATGTAAAGTTTAAACATTAAATCTTATCTTAAAGTATATTGGCTACAAGATCAAGGCTTGCAGATGGAGCTGCATTGTTACGCCATCAGTGTCATCATAAATATGCTTTATTGAAGCAATTCCGCAGCAGTTGTTAGCGTGTACATTTCCTCCTCTGCATTTACTGTACTTTAAAGCCTTAGTGATAAAATATCGGAAAGTGTATTTTAGGGATATAGTTGTCTTTCATATCCTGATTTGTAGCAGCGTGATTGATGGTTTCCATGCATGTTTGTGTTTGAATGTGTTTAGGTCTGGTACAACCCAGAGGGCCACCACACAATGCCGGCATACTTAAACAGCCTCAACAACATCATCTTACGCTCCAATCTTCCAGCAGACAAGGATCAACGAGAATATGGTGAGCTGGAGTTTGAGTTTCTTTTGAAACTCTAGAGAAGGCCAAGGGACACAGTCTGAGAATAAAGTGTAGTTGATTAAGAATTATATCCACAAAGATGCAAAAACAGATCCCTATCTTATTTTTTACATGATATTAGCTTCTCTGCAATTTACTCTTATTGTGTGAAATATTAAAATTATTTAGAAACACATCTAAACCTATCATTTGTTTAGTTGATTGTCTGTATTAACAAAGGGTATTGTACAAGTTTGAAATAAGACATGACTGGGATTAGGCCAAGGGGATGCACACACAAGGTGCTACTGATTAAACACCTTGATCATTCTGTAGACTAAATATAAACAGAGCTGTAAACAGTGTGTTTACTCATGGTTCATTCCACTGGATTAAAGCCAGGGGGTGCTGTGTGTCTTCAGACTCACATCAGTATGCATGCATGGTGAATACTGATGAGTGCCGCTCACTGGGGTAAAATCTGGCCCACGTTTTCAGTACTGTTTCAGCTCTGCATCACCCTGACCATCTGCCTGCGGGCAGGAATACACACACACACACACACACACACACACACACACACACACACACACACACACACACACACACACACACACACACACACACACACACACACACACACACACACACACACACACACACACACACACACACGTATTCGACACAGGATGAACAAGGTGCTCGAGGGGTAGAGTGAATTGTACCTGCACACAGGGGTGGAGATCTGGGGAGATTACTTTTCAAGGTGATGGTTCATCAGTCAAATGTGAAGCCCTCCCTCNGTTTACTCGGAAGGCTTCAGTAGAAGCTGCTGGGAGTCCCAGCAGCTTCTACTGAAGCCAGTCCCTAACTCCGGGGACTTCCGGCCGGGGATTTTGGGCGGCAGTATACGCCGTGAAGTTGTTTGCGGCCTGCCAGTAAACCCAAAGCAGAAGAAGAAGAAATTACGTCAGCGGCTTCATTTGCCTAATCCACCCCCAGGAACTAATTTCCGGTGTGAACGCGATCTGTACTTAGTTCATGAGAACTAAAGAGTTCTCAGGAACCTTTGTGGGAAAAGTACTTGGTGTGAACGCGCCTAAAGTGAAAATGCTGCAGAACAGGTACTACAACTAATTATCTTTAATACAAAATGTTAGGGTGCATGATGGATAAGCAATAAATAAGGACTTGTTGATATCTAATAAACATTTTTGACCTGGCCAACAACTATTTCCTATAGAGAAATACGCATTGTTAAAATTAGATTTGGAGTTAAATGCAACTGGACCTCAGGAAAAGTTATTTCATCTAATAAAACAGTAAAGCTTATATATTCTCCAATATGTGGAGCTGAAAGCATGCTTTACACCAAGGAGATTGGGGATGTAAGGAAAAGTGCAGGGTGTTAGTACCTGTTGGTGTAAAGTACGGGGGCCTGCAGCAAACTGGGAGGACAGCAGAAGAGAGGAAAGAAGTCAAGATTGACATTCAGGGAGAAACATGGCAAAAGGCCAAAACACACACAGAGACTTAGCCAAAGCCTTATAGCAGAAGAAGCCGTGTCAGAAGTCTTAGTGAAAGAGTAGAAGAGGGAGGGTTCCCATACAAGGCAAGTTATCACATACTTAAGCCACTGAAATCTAAAACTTTAGCAGAAGGAAAAACACTGATGTGAACAATACCTGTCTTGGTTGCGGTGCAGAGTTCATTTGTTGAGGTGGGGGGGTGGCAAAGACAAGAGAAGGGGGTTGTCCAGGACCGTAGGCGGCCTTGAGAGGAGAGAATACAGGAACAATTATGTTAACTATCTTTAATATACAAAAAACAGCAACTAGTATAAAACAAAGTCAGTGGCTCTCACCTGTGTCAATCCAGGGGAAGGGGAAGGGTTTGGGACGGAGGTGGGTCCCGCTATAGGCTGTGGTGGTTTGTTCATTTCACGTTCTTTTGTGGTTCTGCATTAGGGTGGCTTTGTGTGGCCAGCCTTATAGAAAAATATTAGAAAAATAAACGATTAAGCATTAGCACAGAACAAGCATCAAGAGCAAATGACTTTGATTTCAAAGTGGATCTCTACATATGATAACTAGAGTCATACAGGTTAGACATAACTCACTACTGTATGAAGACATGAACCCTTAATGTGGCATCATCTTACCAAGCAGGGAGGGTGTGTTCTGTGGGTTTGACTATGATAACGCACACCACCTCCCACAATGTTGGTTACTTGCATATTTTATGGCTCATGCTTGCAGTCTTATGAGCACATGAGTTAACTTCATCTGTGTATTTATTGCTCAAATCAGATATTGATCGACTCATGTCCTTGTTGTAATGTCTACCCAAGTCTGTCGGTTGTTCAAATATAAAATAGGGGACTATGACTGTCAAGCAGCAAAAACAAAATGGGGATTATGTCTTATGGTTGGGAGATCTACTTACAGTACATACCTGCCTGGGACCAAATCACTTGGACTGGTCATGTTTTGAGGGAATTTAAGAAAATGGATACCTCAGGTCAAAGAATGTTTGCTGTGTTAACATTGGTTGTAATGCCCCCTGGGTGTGCTAGCTGCATGTGCAAATATCGTTCAGTCGATACCCGTTTAAAATAAATGACTACAGTCTCTCATCAAGAAAAAGGACCATTGAATAGGAGCAAAGACAAAATGGAATAATAAAATATGGTGAATACTACAAGCAGACGTGTCATCCACCTGCTGGCACAGGAACTGTCGTTAGCCGCTAGCTAATGCCATGCTTCTTTTTAGACAGGGCATCCATGCACAAAGCTACCATATGGTTCTGTCAGCAGATATGGCCAACATACTTATGAATAGCTATTTAATGTGACAGGTAGTTAAGGGAACGCTTCCGATTTTCTCTTAGCGAAGTTACAGGATAAAAATATGTTTTACTGGCCTGCTAACCAGGCAGCATTCCCGGCCGAGGCAGGTTAAATCGTTAGCCGGCCAGCATTACGTGTCCCACTGTCAGACATTTCGATACGTGGCTGGCCGATATGTCCACATTTAACCTTAAACTACAGAGTTCAGTTTGATCATCTTTCTGTGGAAAAGGACAATATGTTGACAAATCAAAACTGGAGCACTGCAGATAAGCCGGTACTAGCCAACATTTTGCAACTCTTGACACCGATTGGTTAGTTAAGCTAATGTTGGTTAGCGATGTAGCCCAGCCCTGTCCTACGAAGTGTATTTAATTACAGGCCCTGCGAGCTCCTCCAGTAAAATTAAACAGTCAACCTGACATTAAACTTGAGCTAGTGCTAAGCTAACAAGACAAATAACGGTAAGCTTTCAGTCACACTGGTACAATGTAGGCGTTAGATGTGAAACTATGTGGAAAACCGTCTTAAAAACATGACACGATGAAGGGCTAACTAGCGTCACCTCAGAGAGCCGTCTGTGATAACGGTTAACAGATGAAGATTAGCCACGAGAGCGAGACACCCTGGCTGTCATTTCAGCTAATGTTTGCTAAGCAACTGTAAATAATACCTCCAGACTGAGTACCAACCGTTAAACTAACCTCAAACGATTCAGAAAGATTTAGTTTGATCCCTTATCGTATTCTTGGCAAGATTAGCAGGCTAGCTGTGTCAGTGAGAGGACTGACAGCCGGCAGGGCCTGTTCAACCTACTAGCATTAGCATAGCTAGCCTGTGTGCCTTTGACAAAAATGAAGCCAGGCTTGTACTTCAAGATAGCAACACCAACGTGAGTTTTATTCTTACCAGCAATCAATAGTGAATATGTAGTTAGATGGGAACTCGGGGAATCAGCCTTTGATCAGTCTTCTGTTAATGAAAGTAGTGGTGTTGTAGTTTCCTTGTCCTTTACTCCAAAAGAAAAGTGATGCCCTTCTTGGCTATGGACTTAGCGAGCTAGCTTAGCTGACCGGCAGATGGGGTGAGTGCTACTACTGTCACCTCGGTTTAAATCCCCGGGCGTGCAAAAGTGACAGTGCTCAAAATCAAATAATATAGTACTTTGGGAGTACTATTGACAACTCCGATGGCCCCGAAAAAAGCCTCTGGACTGGAGGTCCATGATCAGGGCGTCGATGGTGACGGATTGCCGGTTAGGTATGTACACAACTGTCGCATCAGGAGGCTCAGAGCGAGGCCATAATGCGATGTTTCTGTCTATGGAGCCGGTGCGCCTCAAAGTCGCATGGGCAACTTCCGGGAAAAATTAATTCTGAGGCCGTTTCCTTGGTCATGTGATACAGGAGCTCCGATCAATTGTTCAATGCCTCACAAAAATGTGATAATCGAGGTTGAATTATTCCGACAGTATATTTAAGTAGTAGGAAATTCCTTCTAAATAACTTCATTCCACGTGTTAATTTAAAAGTATAAGCATCATAATATACTGAACGTACCAAAAGCATGCAAAATGACCAATGTCTGACTATTATTTTGTTCTACTTATTATAATTAGCATGCATTTGAGTTTTCCTCAAGTTACTGTTGTATAAGTAAATGTTAAAGTATAAACACAGAAGCAGTTTAGGGTGTAGTGTCTGGCTGTTGTGTCCTTGGGCAAGACACTTCACACTAAATTGCTCCTGTGGGTACTCTGGGTCAACAGTATTGATGTATTACATAACTGATATGTAATAATGTAAAGCACGTTGAGCACTTGTAAAAGCCCTAAAATAAATGCAATGAGTTATTATTATTTATAAAGTAACATAAAATGGAAATTCTAATTTATTTACTATGTTTTTCCCATACTGTTATTGAATAACATGAGTGCTTAAGCATGTCCTTTTTATAGTTAAGTATGATTTAGCCAATGAAATGCCCCATTATGAAAATGTTGTATTCTCATTTTTACCTGTGGCCTATGCAAAGGGGATCATTTTCATTATAACTACTTAAATGATTAACTGATCTTACAATTATTTTCTTAATGAATCGCTTATTCTTTTTCAATATAAAATAGTAACTTTCTTGGAGCTCAATGTTAGCCTTCATATTTAATTCACTGTGTGGTTCCCGCAGACAGTAAATTACTCACATATTTTAAGTTAACCATCACCTTTTTTGAAAAACACCAACTTCCCATGTTCAAGAACCTGGAACAATTTCAGTCAAGTTAAAAATGACTGAAATGCTTATTAAAACTTGGATCAATAGCCCATGTGCTACCTTTCCTGTCTATCTCTTGTTGTACCAAAATGAAGGCAAAAAGCCCCAAAAATATTTGTGATAAAACATTTTCAGCAGATGTGTTTAAGAATGTGCTCCACTTAAACATAATATTACCTGAAATAATAAATGCCAATTATAACCTGCATGGACAAGATCATTTGTAGAGGGGCCCTGTGTCCAAATTTAAAAGTTGCATATTTCATTAAGTCAATTTGAGTTGGACCAAACTACCACAAACAGCAGGTCAATAAGGACTCAAAGTTCATGTTTACCACAGGGCCTCATTGTGTGCTTATTTGGCCAGGCAAACAGCTCCAGTCAATGAAATTGTGTTTGTCTATTTCCTAAGTTGATCAAATGATCCAGATGTCTCATGTCTGAAACCTCCCTCAGTGAAATAGCATTTTCTGTCAGTCGACGACAGCATTTTTTGACATTTTGAGGCTTTTCAGAGTCCCCCCAAAAGCACTCAAGCAGAACCCCCAATCCAAAAATATGTAAATGTTTCTCTATGCAGCTGAAATGTGACTTCCCTTTGTTTAATTAGATGATATGTTGTGATTATTTGGTTGGAAGAAATGTTGCGGTGCATCTCTTTTCATAACAATTTACTACTTTTATAATAACCAGTTAGAATGTTAATCAAGTCCATGCACTTTTAAGACCTTTAAGACTCCAGCTGTGTTTTACAACGAATCTTTAAAGTTACAGATTGCCAATAAATCGGTTTATTCCAGACTTTTTCTGGCAAACTAAGCGAATTGAGGGACAAAAAACATTGTCCCTTTTCACGATACGACTGTGTACTTTTTAATGACACTTAATATGAATGCTTAGACAGGGCATTCATCCAAAAAACAACAAACTGTCACCACAAAATAACATTAAAAGGCTTTATTTGAGAAAAGTCAGGCACGTTAACATAACATAGTGGATCCAATAACAAAGGTAATGTAACATTATGTTACACCAGCATGAAAAAAGCTAGAGGTGGTAGTGATTGTTTACATGAAAGTTGATCTGTAAGTTGTGGTAGTGCAATTATTGGTTATACTTTTAAAACATCGGTCTACAGCAAGATCAGTAAGAAAATACAAAAGGCAATTTGGGGGTTGAGTGTGGGAAGGGAGGTGCCCGTATCACTGAAGGCACCTCTTGGTCCGTGGTTGCCACTAGGTTTTTTGCTGGCAGGGATGGAAAGTGCAAGATTTCTCCAGCTCTGTTGAGGAAAAAGAATAATACAAAAACTGACTTGAGTATGCTGATCAGATGCAAATATGTAGTGTGATATGTCTAAGATACAAAAATACAATGTTAAAAGTTATGTTTTGTGTCCTGTTTTGACCAACGATATTACTAACCTGGAGTGCTTTCACCGCACTGTCTGAGAGCCTTCATGGCAGTCAAGTACTCTGGTCCCAAAAAGGTTTCATAACTTTTTCCTTTAGGAATCGTCTGGAGACATTTGGTGGAGTCCTTGAAGAGGAGGTTATTCCCTAAGTCTGAATGGAACATCCTGAATGGGGCATCATCACTGACACTGCTACCAAACTTGGCCTGTAAACAAAAACAAAGATTTAGAAACAGACCTATTTACAAAGCCAGCATTTGACCCGGGTTTAGACTTAAAACAATGCTGTTGAAAGTTAGAAAAAAATGCATGTTTTATTCTTGATCTTATGCCTCATGACCTAAAAAATCATCACTGACCTGCTGTTCATTAAGGATTCGAACAACCTTGCTGTAGGTGTCCGGACGAGTCACCACAGCGTGGGCGGGCACAGCAGCCAGGTTACACGTGGCGTACTCGGAGATTTCCACACGAGCAGCCTGCCCAGGGCAGATCAGCTGGTAGTCATGAGCGATTACTCCTCTAGCCCATTCTGGACCTTTGCCTTTGACAAGAAGAGGTGGAGGATGTTTTAAGTTTATATAAATAACACATTCATAGCTGAGATTAAGAGAGGTAAGTGTCAGTCTCTCACCATTGCTGTTTTCTGGAACAATTGTGTGTTTGATGAAAGCAACATCCCCTGCACCCTCAACCAAACACCTATAATGAGATGCAAAACATAACAACACAAATATGAGGTGCTCTGGAATAGAAAGTAAATACCATGGAAATACCTTTATTTGCTTTATTAGACCAGAAGATTGATACCCCTGAATGTTAAGTAAAGGTCTAAAGTCAGGAGGCAGTTAGCTTAGCTTAGCATAAAGAATAACGTCTGGGGAGACAGCTAGCCTGGGTCTCTTGAAAAGTAAATACAATTGTATTATTAGCAGCAAAAAAAGTTAATTCATGAATAAAAAATATCTTTAGTTTTTAAGCCATACATAAACAAACGTGTAAAAACTACAGTTTTGGGGTTTAAGGAGGAGTTTGTGCTATTTATTGGCTAGCAGCATTGAAACTGCAAAAAAAGTGCTGAATGGATGAATGTCCACTGTCCTTTGTCCTACCTAAACGCTCCTGCGTAGCCGTAGTACTGCTCTTCAGCATTGGCTTTGCACTTTGACTCATCTCCCACCGATCTTCCACTGCCGACACACTGAGAACAGAAGGGAGAGCTGGGGTCTGATCCGGGGGCACAGCCGCTGCTGAAGAACTTGGCTGAGGAGAGGACGAGACAAAGGGGGCAGGTGTCATACTCAGAGGAGGGAAGGAAGCAAATCAATTGTCCTAAAACCTGCATTTCTAGTGCATGATTTTGGAGGAAACGTTATTGTGTTAATTGTGTTCCCTGAGAATGTTTTTTTTTGTCTAGGATCATTTACATATTTTCTAAGTCGTAGGAGGGTGGTCGAAGTGGATGTTGGGAATGCAAAAACACAGAACTTTGAAAACCTAAATTATCTCTGTTTGGTTTCTTTGGTCACATCCATGGTTATGAGCTGTAATTGCTGTTCTTTGGATCTTACATCTCAGAGATCCAAACAGTCTGTGTGAAAAATAGTATAAATAGTCTTAGCCTTAACTTAACCAAGCGCTTTGAGTTATCTTAACATACTAAAAACGTACAAAAAAATTATGTTTAGTTCCTACAACTTTGTAAATACTGCGCTTTCAACAAAAAAAGTATTTATATTATTGATCACAAACATATACTTGTTAGCTTTACGTGTCTTTCGTTACGTATTTGCACATGGAAGAGCACACGGTCCCTTACTGAAGTCACAGTCTTGAGTCTGACTGTAGATTTGACCCATGGGGATGTTCCAGCCAGCAGTTCTTCCGAGTCCAGTGTGGCAAGACTTGTGGCCCTTCAACGTGTTCCAGGTCAGACCTGAACTCCTCTTTACCACAGCAACAGCATAGTAAGAGGATTTGTCTGCAAGAGAGGGAGTCCAGAAGGACTCGAATTACAAACGTTTTGTGCCAGATAATTTGAAGTTATCGATAATTCAATTTGAAAGATCATCTGCTCTGTAATTTCCTAATAATTTTCACAAAGTTTTATTTAAGAAAATAAAAAGTTTTCACTCGGTACACTTCAAATCAATCAATTACAATTCACGGTTAATCAAGAAAATAAAACAAAAGATAGATGGAGAATAACTTTTACAACAATACATTCATATTTCATTAGAATCTAATGGGGCTTCTCTTTTAAAAACTTGTATTTTTTTATTTGTAGAATCAAACAACAGCTCAATCCAAGAAACTTCTCTAGAGATGATTAGAAATTAGCGTATTAAGTGCAAAGACTAACAGGTATTGTAATATTGTGACATTAAAACCATGTGTTGGTCCTCAAGGCTGTATTTTATCACACACTCCTAATCTTTATGGTTCAAGATGCGTTAAAAGTACCAGGTAAATGTGTGTTATCTTGTTATCAAATATACTTAGCAATATTTAAACATTCATTTTACCTCCAGGGTGGCTGCACAAATCTGTGGAGAGAGACAGAGATCCAAATATTATTCATGTGTATCAGTTCAAACACAGGATTGTATGGGATGGTTTCTATGTAGGCCTCATACCTGCATTATACTGCTCCACCATAGCT